ATAAACAAAGTAAACAAAAATAAATAAATGGATAAAACTCAAAACCAGACACTACAATGCTGTCAGATTTGGCAAAATGGTTTGATTCTTAATAAAGAAATATCTCAGTCTGTTTTTCCATTACAGTTAAAGTGTAGCTTTGCATGGTGAAGAGCGCCATTTGTGCAGGCAACCCAAAGTTTATCCTCATTATCGAATACTACGCAGTTCATGTCCTCCAACATGACCGTATCGTTGAAACTCCAGAGTATCTGTCCATGTTTATCAAACACAACGATTCGCTTGTTTCCTGTATCCAAGACAATTGAATTCCCATGTGAAGCGACAGCAATACTGACAGGATGGAACAAATTCATTGCAGCTTCGCTACCAGTTTCCATGTCCAGCTCACCTCTCCAGGTTTTCGTCACTTTCCCATCCTTGTCCAGAGTTATCAGTCTCTTGCTATCTATCACTAGCACATCTCTTGTAGGGCCGACCTCAAGTACTTGTCTTGGTCTGAGGAAAATTTCTTTGCCATCCTGGACATCCTGATCGAAATAGATTCTCTGTTTATTGTCTCCAGCAGGGGAATACCTGTGTATCTCTGCTCTACAATCGATTCCTTGGAGGCAAACCAATATATCATCCTCAGGAGTGAGGTTAATTCCGAAGGTCAAATAGGGTTCAGTCCTTACAAGACTTTTCCATTTGAAAAACCCTTTTTTCTTTATCTTAAAACCGTTGTGTACAGTTGCGAAAAGTTCGTTTTTACTATTGAAGCCGAAGTCTGCTATATCAAAGTCTGAGATAATTTGTTTTGTAGAATCACCTTTGTCATTAAAATGTTTGATGCATCTCTTCCCTGTACATGTCACCCACACACCTTCCTCTGTGCTAGCAGCTAGCTTGATCGCAGCTCCTTGTGTGGTGTTGTCAACTTTTTGGTCAGGGTCGTGAAACACGCCATGCTCTAAAATCTCAACATCTTCAAGTTCCAAGTAGTCATACAATCTCTCAGTGGGTTTGGTTACCTTAGAGGTCCAATCCTCTGTAAGTGATCTGCTGTCTTCAGATTCTGGTGGTCGTCTATGTCTGATATCATTTGTACTAGTAAAGGAATCTGGGTTTAGAGTAGACATGCTGTCTGATCCATAGAAGTCTTCATCAGAGATATGTCCGAGTAAGCCGTCCAAGTCAAGCGTTGCTAAGTTGCCTTCTCTAAAGACGAGAGATGCAGGGTTGTAGACAGATGTCTGGTGTTTAGCCTGAATAACATTGTCCACCATCTCAAAATGATCAACATTACATTGATCCAGAGTTTCTTGTAGTTTATTTTGATCCTCTTTAATTTTTTCCTGGCGTGCCTTCATTAACTCCTTGTTTTCTACAACCTTCTTCTGAAGAGCTGATTTGACCTTTGTCTTCCATGACTCAATGTCAGATTGTAAAGCCTCAGCTCTCCTCTCTATTGTAGCATCAATGTCCTGGACTTTCTCGTCAAACTGGGTTTCAATTTCCGACTGTTGTAATAAAACCTTTTCAAGATTTTCTTTGATTTTACTCAATTCTTTTTTCTTCTGGTGTGTGCTTGCTCTGTGTTCTTCAGCAATCTTCTCCAGTGATACAAACACATGTCCAGCATGTTTTGGGGATACTATTCCCTGGATACAGACAAACGTCTGACAAGTTTGACACCAGGCACTCACTAATTCTGTATGTCCTGGTTCTGTACACTGTTTTCTTGTTTGGAGGTCCCCAGTATCCATCAGGTCGAACTCTGCCTATAATGAGTAGATATCATTACATGAGAAGAAAGAAGCTGATATCAGGACACTATTACATAATTAAGTCTATGTCTAGGAGACTGGGTAATATGAATTGAGGCTACCACTACTATAAGATATAATGATGGAAACATTTAAATGCAAAATAAAACTAAACTGAGCAGTTTCTACAATTTTTAAATAAGATAAAAAAAAAACTTAATTGTGTAAAACTTATGTATAGTCCCCACTATACATGTAAGCTTCTTTGAAATGTTCTAAGATAAATGTCTGCATGTTTTGTTTATCGTAAAGCAAAAACTTCATTGTGTAGAACCTATGTAATATCCAATTTACCTGTAAGTGTTTTCTCTCCTTGAAAATATCGTACGTTTAAGTCCTGGTCAGATTAACCATTTATTTCTTCTTACTTGAAATACTGTATTGAAAATTGGCAACAGAATTCCTGGTAAGAACAATAGTGTGACCATGTGTACTTTATGTGTATCTCAACAGTACAATAGATAGCTGTAGAACATTGAATAGCACACCAGTATTATTGAGTTATATCTGTTCCACACAAACCATTTTGCCATTGTGCAGTAGATCTGTTTATCTTGCTGCCGATTAATCTGCACAATTTTATTTCCTCTTTCGCAGTTTTAAATAAAGCCTTTTGAGGATCTTTGTTTAACACACAAATGGAAACAAGTCACACAGTTTAAAAGTTAATTAGTCATAAAATTGGTGGTAGTTAGAAACAGGAGGTAGTTATAGACAGGTGGTAGTGATAGGTAGTAGTTATAAACAGGTGATAGATATATACAGATAATAGTCAGAGACAGGAAGTCGATATAGAGAGGTGGAAGTGATAGACAGGTGGTAATTATAGACAGGTGATAGTTAGAGACAGAAGGTAGTTATAGACAGGTGGTAGTTATAGACAGACAGGTGGTAATTATAGACAGGGGATAGTTATAGACAGAAGGCAGTAATAGACAGGTAGTAGTGATAGACAGGTAGTAGTTATAAACAGGTGGTAGATATAAACAAATAATAGTCAGAGACAGGAGGTCGATATAGACAGGTGGTAGTTATAGACAAGTGATAGTTATAGACAGAAGGTAGTTATAGACAGATAATCATCAGAGACAGGAGGTCGATATAGACAGGTGGCAGTTATAGCTAGGAGTTTATACACATGTTGTAGTTATATGTTGGGATTAGTTACATAGGTTATATTTATAGAAAGGTGATATAGTAATAGACAGATGGTAGTTACAGACAGATGGTAGTTACAGACGTGATAGTTATAGACAGGTAGAAATTATAAGCATGTCGTAGTTATATGTGGAAGGTAGTTATACAGAGGTCATAGTTATAAAAAGGGTGATACTTATAGACAGGTGATATTTATAAACACAAGGTAGTTATAAATAGGTGGTATTAATAAATAGGAGATAATTATAGACAGAAGGTAGTTATGAACAAATTATAGTTGGATACAGACGATAATTTTAGAAAGTGGTAGACGGTACATATCCATGAGAATAATTGACTGATAGGTAGATAGAACTTGAGTAGGACATGTCTGTGAGGGTGATTGACTGATAGTTAGACAGAATCTGAGTAGGACATGTCTGTGAGGGTGATTGACTGGTATGTAGATAGAACCTGAGTAGGACATGTCTGTGAGGGTGATTGACTTGTATGTAGATAGAATCTGAGTAGGACATGTCTTTGAGGATGATTGACTGATAGGTAGATAGAACCTGAGTAGGACATGTCTGTGGTCTGTGAGGGTGATTGACTTGTATGTAGATAGAATCTGAGTAGGACATGTCTTTGAGGATGATTGACTGATAGGTAGATAGAACCTGAGTAGGACATGTCTGTGGTCTGTGAGGGTGATTGACTTGTATGTAGATAGAATCTGAGTAGGACATTTCTGTGAGGGTGATTGACTGATAGTTAGATAGAAACTGTGTAGGAGATGTCTGTGAGGGTGATTGACGGATAGGTAGATAGAACCTGAGTAGGACATGTCTGTGGTCTGTGAGGGTGATTGTCTTGTATGTAGATAGAATCTGAGTAGGACATTTCTGTGAGGGTGATTGACTGATATGTAGATAAAAAACTGAGTAGGACATGTCTGTGAGGGTGATTGACTGATAGTTAGACAGAATCTGAGTAGGACATGTCTGTGAGGGTGATTGACTGGTATGTAGATAGAACCTGAGTAGGACATGTCTGTGAGGGTGATTGACTTGTATGTAGATAGAATCTGAGTAGGACATGTCTTTGAGGATGATTGACTGATAGTTAGACAGAACCTGAGTAGGACATGTCTGTGAGGGTGATTGACGGATAGGTAGATAGAACCTGAGTAGGACATGTCTGTGGTCTGTGAGGGTGATTGTCTTGTATGTAGATAGAATCTGAGTAGGACATTTCTGTGAGGGTGATTGACTGATATGTAGATAAAAAACTGAGTAGGACATGTCTGTGAGGGTGATTGACTGATATGTAGATAGAATCTGAGTAGGACATGTCTATGAGGGTGATTGACTGATAGGTAGATAGAATCTGAGTAGGACATGTCTGTGAGGGTGATTGACTGATATGTAGATAGAACCTGAGTAGGACATATATGTGAGGGTGAATGCCTGATAGGTAGATAAAACCTGAGTAGGACATGTCTGTGACGGTGATTGACTGATAGGTTATATAATATGTGTATGACATGTCTGTGAGGGTGATTGACTGATAGGTAGACAGAACCTGAGTAAGACATGTCTGTAGGGGTGATTGACTGGTATGTTGATTGAACCTGGAAAGAAGATATCTGTAATGGTGATTCCTCGCCTGAAAAGTTTTTTTTATTGATAACGATGAAAAATGCTGCTTAGTGTTCTGTTTTATTCATGAAAGTTATGAACCACAAAAACAGAATAAAGTCAAACCTGTCTCCAAAGGCCACTCAAGGGAGCAATGAAAATTGGCCTCAATATACTGAGATTAAATGAAGTCAAATTGTTCTACTTCGGGATCCAATTAAATACAGGTATGTGTTATGGTATACAGGTCACATTAAAGGTAGGTGTGAATTTAAAAGTGAAAAGCTTTGAGAAAAAGTAGAGAAAATAGGAATATAAACAAAGTAAACAAAAATAAATAGATGGATAAAACTCAAAACCAGACACTACAATGCTGTCAGATTTGGCAAAATGGTTTGATTTTTAATAAAGAAATATCTCAGTCTGTTTTTCCATTACAGTTAAAGTGTAGCTTTGCATGGTGAAGAGCGCCATTTGTGCAGGCAACCCAAAGTTTATCCTCATTATCGAATACTACGCAGTTCATGTCCTCCAACATGACCGTATCGTTGAAACTCCAGAGTATCTGTCCATGTTTATCAAACACAACGATTCGCTTGTTTCCTGTATCCAAGACAATTGAATTCCCATGTGAAGCGACAGCAATACTGACAGGATGGAACAAATTCATTGCAGCTTCGCTACCAGTTTCCATGTCCAGCTCACCTCTCCAGGTTTTCGTCACTTTCCCATCCTTGTCCAGAGTTATCAGTCTCTTGCTATCTATCACTAGCACATCTCTTGTAGGGCCGACCTCAAGTACTTGTCTTGGTCTGAGGAAAATTTCTTTGCCATCCTGGACATCCTGATCGAAATAGATTCTCTGTTTATTGTCTCCAGCAGGAGAATACCTGTGTATCTCTGCTCTACAACCGATTCCTTGGAGGAAAACCAATATATCATCCTCAGGAGTGAGGTTAATTCCGAAGGTCAAATAGGGTGCAGTCCTTACAAGACTTTTCCATTTGAAAAACCCTTTTTTCTTTATCTTAAAACCGTTGTGTACAGTTGCGAAAAGTTCGTTTTTACTATTGAAGCCGAAGTCTGCTATATCAAAGTCTGAGATAATTTGTTTTGTAGAATCACCTTTGTCATTAAAATGTTTGATGCATCTCTTCCCTGTACATGTCACCCACACACCTTCCTCTGTGCTAGCAGCTAGCTTGATCGCAGCTCCTTGTGTGGTGTTGTCAACTTTTTGGTCAGGGTTGTGAAACACGCCATGCTCTAAAATCTCAACATCTTCGAATTCCAAGAAGTCATATATTCTCTCAGGGCGTTCGGTTACTTTAGAGGTCCAATCCTCTGTGAGTGATCTGCTGTCTTCAGATTCTGGTGGTCGTCTATGTCTGATATCATTTGTACTAGTAAAGGAATCTGGGTTTAGAGTAGACATGCTGTCTGATCCATAGAAGTCTTCATCAGAGATATGTCCGAGTAAGCCGTCCAAGTCAAGCGTTGCTAAGTTGCCTTCTCGAAAGATGAGAGATGCAGGGTTGTAGACAGATGTCTGGTGTTTAGCCTGAATAACATTGTCCACCATCTCAAAATGATCAACATTACATTGATCCAGAGCTTCTTGTAGTTTATTTTGATCCTCTCTAATTTTTTCCTGGCGTGCCTTCATTAACTCCTTGTTTTCCACAACCTTCTTCTGAAGAGCTGATTTGACCTTTGTCTTCCATGACTCAATGTCAGATTGTAAAGCCTCAGCTCTCCTCTCTATTGTAGCATCAATGTCCTGGACTTTCTCGTCAAACTGGGTTTCAATTTCCGACTGTTGTAATAAAACCTTTTCAAGATTTTCTTTGATTTTACTCAATTCTTTTTTCTTCTGGTGTGTGCTAGATCTGTGTTCTTCAGCAATCTTCTCCAGTGATACAAAGACATGTCTAGCATGTTTTGGGGATACTATATCCTGGATACAGACAAACATCTGACAAGTTTGACACCAGGCACTCACTAATTCTGTATGTCCTGGTTCTGTACACCGTTTTCTTGTTCGGAGGTTCCCGGTATCCATCAGGTCGAACACCGCCTGTAAAAAGTATAAACCATGACATGCTAGAAGCTGATATAACTTTATTGTCATAGAATAATGATATATTTTCTATGTTTCGGGATAACAGAATATTATTACACTATTACAAAGTAATAAGATGGTTTTAGGAGACTCTATAATAGGATCTTATTACACTATTACAAAGTAATAAAACATTTTCTAGGAGACTCTATAATAGGATACTATTACACAGTAATAATAAATTTTCTATGAGACGGGATAACAGAATATTATTATACTATTACATTTTAATGAAATATTTTCTACGAGACTGGATAATGAGATATTATAACACTACTACATATTAATGGTATTTTCTAATGGACGGGATAATAGGATATTATTACACTATTACATACCAATGATATATATTCTGACTAGGTAATTTAATGTGAAGTACCATGTCCGTGATTCTTCCATTGTCCACCTAAACAATTCCTACAATTTCTTAAAAGTATGTTATCAAATTGTAGGATGCATTATGTGATATCATCTAGTGTCACATTCATGGTTAAATCCCATCTAAATTTTTTTTGTATTTCCCTTGGTGTCATTTCACCCAACAATGCTTCAGACCAACTTTAAGCAACATTCAATGACTCCTACAGGAGAAGAGGGATTTTAAAGAATCTGCTCTATTTCACCTTTTGGGCCCTCTCTCTGAGACCTTAGAGAAATGCCCATATTAGGAAGAAATGCCGAGGGCAAAACCAGTTTGAATATTAAGGAGCTTTAATAATTATACTCAGGAATTTATTGACAATAAAACCAAAACATAGATAATATCAGAGAGGCGCTAAAGCATCCTGGGAAAGAAGACAAAAATTGCCCGCTTCCATTCACTGAAATCCAAAGAAAGTACATCCTCGGGCATAGATTATTGATCTTATACAATTCTGAAAAATTGTCAGGACAAAATCAAGAATATCATTCTGTTACTTTTCAACGCAATTCAGAAATTAGGTTCCTATCCAGAGTCCTGGAATAATGATATCGTTATTCCCATATACAAAATTGGTCAGGATAAAGAATCCCCAGCCTCCTAGAGACCAATAGCTTTAAGCAAAACGTTAGAAATAATTATAAACAACTGACTCAAACACTATCTAGAAAAACAAAACATAATTAGCGAAAAATTGATCATTAGACGTTACTAATTGTCTCCCCTGTTTTGCTTTCATTGTTTCAGGTACGCCCTGAGTTGGTTTTGACGACGTCATTGATGTTTTAAATTGTAGTAAAGTACGTAATTCGAATGATGGGTTGGTTTTGAGGACGTCATTGATGTTTCAGCTATAGTAAAGTACGTAATTCGACTGACAGGTTGATTTTGATGACGTCGTTGATGTTGTAGCTATAGTAAAGTACGTAATTCGACTGACGGGTTGGTTTTGACGACGTCGTTAAGTTTTCGACTGTGCCGTAGAGTGTACACATCTATACATATACGAAATATTACTATGTTACTGACAAAAAAGCATAAAATTATAACATTTACATTTTTCACTTACACAATTACATTTCTATCATTGCTTTTTTTTTCAAAATATGTAATGATGTTAAAAAATGAAACTTTTTCTGTTGTTCTGCTGCTGTTCTGTTGTTGTATGCTACTGTTGTTTGCTGTTTTGGTGCTGTTTGCTGCTGTTGTATGCTGCGTTTTGCTGCCGATTTCTGTTGTTTGCTGCTGTTTTGCTGCAGGTTTTGCTGCTGTTTGCTGTTGGTTTGCTATTATTTTGCTATTGTTTGCTATTGTTTTTCTGTTATTTGCTCCTGTTTTGCTGCAGTTTACTATAGTTTGCTGTTGTTTTGTTGCTGTTTGCTATTGTTTGCTGCTGTTTTGCTGCAGTTTTTGCTACTGTTTTGTTGTTCTTTTCTGTAGTTTGTTGTAGTTTTGCTGCTGTTTTCTGTTGTTTGCTGCTGTTTGACTGCAGGTATTGTCACTGTTTGGCTGATGTTTACTGTTGTTATGCTGTATATTTTCTGCTGTTTTGTGAAGGTTTGCTGCTGTTTGCTGTTGTTTGCTGCCGTTTTATTTTGTTTGCTGTTGTTTTACTGTTGTTTTGCTGCTGACTGCTGTTTTTTGCTGCTATCTGTTGCTGTTTTTTATCATTGCTTTTGGCTGTTTGTTGTTTTGCTGCTGTTTGCTCTGTTGTTGTCTGTTGTTTGCTGCTGTTTTGTTATTACTTGTTGTTTTGCTTTTGTTTGATGTTGTTTTGCGGCTGTTTTCTGTTGTTTGCTAATGCTTTGCTGATGTTTGCTGGGATTTTGCTGCTGTTTACTATTGTTTGCTGTAGTTTTGCTGATGGTTTGTTACTATTTTGCTGCTGTTTGCTGATGGTTTGCTGCTGTTTTCTTGTTGTTTGCTGTTTACTGTTTACTATTGTTTGTTGCTATTGGCTGATGTTGTTTTACTGCTGTTTGCTGATGGTTTGCTGCTGTTGTTTGCTGCGTTTTGCTGTTGTTTGCTGCTATCTATTGCTGTCTTTTTTGTTTTTGCTGTTGTTTTGCTGCTGTTTTTACGCAATTTTTTCCTATTTTGCTGCTGTTTACTGTTGTTTTGCCGCTATTTGCTGTTGTTTTGCACCTGTTTACTGTTGTTTTGCTGCTATTTGCTGTTGTTTTGCACCTGTTTACTGTTGTTTTGCTGCTGTTTTCATGCAATTTGTTCCTATTTTGCTGCTGTTAACTGTTGTTTTGCACCTGTTTACTGTTGTTTTGATGCTATTTGTTGCTTTTTGCTCCTATTTTGCAGGTGTTTACTGTTGTTTTGCTGCTGTCTGCTGTTTTGCTGCTATGCGTTCCTGTTTTTCACCCGTTTTCTATTGTTTTGGGGCTATTTGCTGCTGTTTTGCTGTTGTTTTGCACCTGTTTACTGTTGTTTGCTTCTATTGTCTGTTGTTGTTTGCTGCTGTCTGCTGTTTTGCTGCTGTTTGCTGTTTTGCTGCTGTTTGCTGCTATGCGTTCCTGTTTTTCACTCGTTTTCTATTGTTTTGGGGCTATTTGCTGCTGTTTGCTCCTGTTTTGCTGTTGTTTTGCACCTGTTTACTGTTGTTTGCTTCTATTGTCTGTTGTTGCTTGCTGCTGTTTTAGTGTTTTGCTGCAGTTTGCTTCTGTTTTGCTGCTATTTGCCAATGTTTACTGTTGTTTGCTAAAGTTTTGCTACTGTTTGCTGTTGTTTGGAGTGTTTTGCTGTTGTCTGTTGTTTTGCTGTTGTTAGTTGTTGTTTGCTGCTGTTTTACTGTATTTAATTTTGACTATACAAAATTTGTTCCTCTTCACCACTCAGGCTGGATGAACAAGTGAATGCTGTGCCATGGCATATGCGCTTACTGGTCCCTCAGAACTGGTGAACTAAAAACAAAATCATTGGCAGATATCTTGGACTTGACAGCTAAAGATGATCAGTATCATTTTGAAAAATGAATTTTCAAATTTCATCTAATCAAAAGAAGAAAAGGGAAAATGTTTATCTAAAGAACAAATTAGATAGAACATACCAAGTCTTTCCAGTGGTAAACCTGTATTCTGTCCAGAAATAATATATCCTAAAATCAAGGGCTCGTTATACAATCCAACGATTTCTTCTTCCTGGATTGAAATACCTGGTAAACACTTGTGAGCATATGACTAATGCCTTGATTTAGATACCTGGTAAACACTTGTGAGCATATGACTAATGCAGTATGTGTATAAACTGGTTGATCGAAAGTTTTAACAGATTTATCTGTCAACCAATTTGCACTGGGGATTTAACAAGAGGCCCAAAGAGGGTGTGTCACCTTATTTCATTTGCTGAAATTACGTCATCTAAACTGAATGAAAAGCATTTAAGACATTGACATTCATTTCCTTTACAGGACCACGTTTTCTCATCATAGGGATTCCAGACCCCCTGATTATTAAACAATGATTCCTTTCACCCAAGGATGCTTCAGACCAAATTTTGATTATAGTGTTTTTCAAGAAAGCTAGATGATGGTGAACTTAAAACTAATGATCCAAAATTTATATTTAGATAAAGACACTTTTCATGCTGGAAGATTTAGTTAGTATTTTTATCTTTATGGTCACTTGAGATTTTGTGATTTAATCTCGGAGAATGTGTTGTAATAAAAATAATGGATATTTTCACCAATTCTTCATGTATGTATGGGATTCTTCAGAACAAAATATGTCTATATGCCAAATCAGTAAAATTTTTTTACATTCTGACTACTGAACGTGATTATCAAACCTATCTAAAGGGACCACCTTCCCAATGAGACCTATTTATAACAGATATAACTGCTGAATAATCATGATATGGAGTAATATTAAGAACGGCTTCCCAGTGCTGATCAACAGAGAAACTAGCGAGTGGAAAAAACTAGAAGTAGAGATAACCCCTTACATCCTTTGATAAAACAGAAAATCACCTGAATTAAATCAGTTCCTGTGTAATGCTACTACCTGTGCCTTTTTATATTGCCTACAATACTATTTGGTCCATGTTATGAAGACATTTCGTTGTAGATAAGAAGTCTTTGTTTCTCACTTAGACAAGAAATACGCTTTGTGTTGACAAATCGATTCATAAGATATGACTTTCACTTTGAGAATGTGTAATGTACACACAAATACATGGCTAATGTCTTTGTCTGTGTCTACCTTTTGTTACTAATACCTGTGATTATATCTGTGATTACCTTTTGATACTAGTACCTGTGATTACCTTTTGATACTAATACCTGTGATTATATCTGTGTTTAACTTTTGATACCAATACCTGTGATTACCTTTTGATACTAATACCTGTGATTATATCTGTGTTAACTTTTGATACTAATACCTGTGATTATATCTGTGTTTAACTTTTGATACCAATACCTGTGATTACCTTTTGATACTAATACCTGTGATTATATCTGTGTTTAACTTTTGATACCAATACCTCTGATTACCTTTTGATACTAATACCT